ACTCTAGCTAGCCTGAACGGCCTGCAGGGGTTTTTAGAGTCTATAGGGATAGCGTATATAGTAGGGCTTTTAGGACATGGCTTTTGGTACAAGGGGTTTAGGGTTTTTTTTTGAGAAATTAGAGGGTCTGCCCCAATGCCCCGAAGTCTCTCAGCCCGAAAACGAAACCTTCCGAGGTTGTCTGCCTCGGCAAGTTGCAGTCACAGCTCACAGAGGTGCTAGTGATCGAGGAGCTGCGCTGTTTTCATTTAGGGATGAGAGCGTCTCGGGTTTATTGTTTTGGGTCTTGACGGCTAGAGGTTTGAGGCATTTTTTCGCGGGTTTTGTTTTGTGAGGTCACCACTTGAGCTTGTCCTCACCGGGCTGGGTCTTTGATCATGTCAGTGGTCTCTTGATGGGCTCGGGGTGAATGGAATCTCGCAGAATACATCCGCCGAGGTAGAAATCCGAAGACAGATGCTCTTCATACCCTCTTTCATACCAAAGCCCAGCCCTAAAGCTTCCAATAGCCCCAAGAGGGGCCCCGAAACCCTGAACCCTGAACCCTAAACCCTAAACCCTAAACCCTAAACCCTGAACCCTAAACCCGAAACCCTGAACACCAGGCCCTATGTCATGTTCGCTGCGCAGGAGATTGATGGCGTCGAGGTCACCAACCTCCCACGTCAGCCCAAGGCCGAAGATCGTGTACCCTAGGGGCTCTCATAATTAGGCTAGGGTTTAGGGTTTAGGGTTTAGGGTTTAGGGTTTAGGGTTTAGGGTTTAGGGTTTTGGGGTATATGATACTAAGATTATAATAAGGAGCCCCAAAATAGTATTGGTAATTTTTTCGGCCACTACACTACTTTAAATGGCTTGAGAGGTTTAAGGGGCCGTGGGTAGGTCGTGCATGGTTAACCCGAAGCCATACGCCCAGTTGCACATGCGCACATGGCGTTTAGAGCTTGTTTTCTCCTGGGTGAAACCCTAAACCCTAAACCCAAGGTTCAAGGGCGCGCTGCGAGGTTGAGGGGTTGGAGTCGGGGCTATTATTATTAATATTATTATTATTATTATTATTATTATTTTTATTATTAGTCCCATTATTAGTCCCATTAGTATTAGTCTTGCTATTGTTATTACTATTATTCGGGGCTCAGGAATCTACAGCCACTCGAAGTCTCAGGTTCGGGGCTGGAGGAGGGAGGGTAAAAGGCGTAGGGTCTGTGGAAAACTGCCGTACTTGGAGGATCATGGGACTTAGTAACTAGGGATATGAGTAAGGTAACTATAATTATAACCCCAATTAGGGTATGTATAACCTTACTTACTAAGTCCCATGATCCTCCAAGTACAGGGCATTAGGGTCGTTGTCGGCTGGACGTGTCTTAAGGCCCAAGGGGTTCAGGAGAGCAGCTCACCTCGGTCTTGAGAGTTCGTGATTTTATGTACCATAGCCTACAACATCCCCTTGCAGTCCCGATCTAAATACACCTTGCCTCACCCCCCACCCCGAATCCGTAATACTGTTTCATAGATGTGCCTGGAACTGTGTCGCTGACGTTCGGAGGCTCGTGTGGCTTACAACGAATGTGGGTAAAAAAAGATGTGCCCGGATAGTCCCTGCAGAAGGTTTTGAAATATAGCCCCAAACCGGGGGGCGCTTGCTTTTGCATGTCCAGGCCGAGCCAGCAAAGGAGGCTACGGCGCGCGGCCCAGTCGGTCGCAGGGTACCGGGTGTGTGGTTGAGGATCCTGCTGAGATCTTTGCAGGCATCAGCCTAAACCCCTAAACCCTAAACCCTAAACCGGGCTTCTCAAAATTAGGCATCCCTTCAGCCCTTGAACCCTGTAGCCCTTCAGCGCCAAGCCTAAATCCGGCATAAAGCTGGCAAAACTCAGATGAAAGCCTTCCCTTTTTCCCCCCCCCCCAGGCCAAAAAGGGCTACACCCTGGACCCTCAGCCCTTGTCCCAAGGCCCTAAAGCCCTAAACCCTAAGCCCCCCCACCTGAGAACTTGAAGGAAGACTGGGCGGCGGAGACGCTCTACGAAGATGACCTGGTGCTGGGCGACTTAGACTCGGATGACGAGGTGGCTTATGAGGGCTTAGGGTTGAATCACTAGTACTTAAAGGATCATGGGACTTCGTAAGTAGGGTTATAACTAAGGTAACTATACTTATAACCCCAATTAGGGGACTTATAACCTTACTTACTAAGCCCCATGATCCTCCAAGTAACACTGTCCCTCTATAGGCTCGCAGAAGTGGCTCATACTATTACGCTAGTACCCAGATAGCCTTCTGTTTGTGAAGGGCTTAGACCAAAATGCTTCTGAAGGCTTTGGGCAAGTATTCATACCTGTACCCTCGATTTCTGCTGGCCTGATCCCTCGTTGCAGTGCCCTGGCATAATGTTTTGGAATCAGGGCATCCAAATTTTTCTGGGATGTTAGGGTGTAGGGCTCGGTCATCAGGATGAGTAAGGCTCCTGTTCTGCCTTCATGCGAGCACCCGAAAGCCTGCGGGGGGCTTGGTTGAGGCTTTAGGTTTCCAGAGCCCGGAGCCCCCAAGCCGAGGAAAGGATGCGCTAAACCCGGAGCTTTGAGGTCAAGGCTTAAGGTTCAGGGCTTAGGGCTTAGGGCTTAAGGTTTAGGGTTTGGGGTCTAGCTAGCAGCTAGCAGACCCCAGTCAGTCAATGAACAATCTGTAGCTCGACGAGAGCTGGCGCTGCAATCCTCAAGGCCGCAACTAACCACAAGCCCCAGCCTGACCCCCTATCCAAACCCAGAAAGCCCTAAATCCGGCCACCCTGAACCCCTAAACCAAAACCCTCCAAGCTAAGCTTTCAAATGCCCGCGTCCAGCAGGTGCCCAGCCCAGAGCCAAGCTACCCAAGCGGGCGCATGGCCGCGAGACGGAGAATGCAGGCCGCCCACTCTCAGCTCGGAGCACTAGTGGCGCGACAAAGTCCCCCAAACCCTGAACCCTAAACCCTAAACCTTGAACCCTAATGGCCTGAACCCTGAACCCTAAACCCTGAACCCTAAACCGTAATGGCCTAACAGAGTCCCGCTCGTCCTCTAAGCTCGGATCAGGCCAGGGCCCAGCAATGCATCGTCTGCATGGAGGAGAAGGAGCTCCGGCGGTGTGGCAAGGCTTTTTGAGCAGGCTTTCGGACTTAAGGTTATTGTAGGGGCCTTAATGATAAGAATAGGGTTCCTTGTAAGGGTTGCTATAAGGGTTATAGGGTTCTATAAGGGTATAATATAGGGGGGCCCTACTAATTTGAATAGGGTTTGGGGGGTATATTATACTATAACTATAATAAGGAGCCTCCAAACCCTATTCTAATTACTAAGGCCCCTTCCGCTAGGGTTTAGTTCAGGGTTTTTTTTAGGGGCTTAGGGTCGAAAGTGCCCCCACGAGGCATCTCATACTCCTTAACCCCCAACCCTTAACCCTAAACCCTAAGCCCTAAACCCTAAACCCCCTAAGCCCTAACCCTGAACCTTAAATCCCGAAGCCTAAGCCTTGTAAGCGCTACACCTGATGAAGCCCCACAGCCTACCCCGATGAAGCCGTTCCCACCTCAGGAGCACACCTTCGTACCTCCGCATCTGCAGGCTCACGGAATTCCAGCGTTCGGGTTTCAGAGTCGAAACCCTAAACCCTAAACCCTAAACCTTAAACCCTAAACCCTAAACCCTAAACCCTACAGATAGGGTTTGGGGGTTTCATGGTTCAGGCTCAGGGCAATGTGCTTCAAGAAGTTTTGGGTCAAGGGCTTCGGAGAGCTAGGCTGAGACGCGCTGTTCAAGGTTTGCGGTTTAGGGCTTACAGGCGCAGGGCTCGCGATCCCTAGCCTGAGCTTTCAGTCAGAAGTTAAGAGTAATATAAGGCCATTGATAATCAGAAACAGGGTTTTGGCCTCTGTTGTTCGCTTGGGAAGTCCTGCAAGATCGGCCAACAGCGCCCAAATACCCCAAAGCGTACAGCATTGAGATCTCATGTGTTTATGTTCGATGCGTGCAATATCCCTAAGCCCGGAACCCCCGAGCCCCACAACCCTAAGCCCTCACCCTGAAACCCTAAACTGAACCATGAATGTAGTACCCCAGAGTTCATGGAGGTTCATGAGTACCTCTAAACGGGGATATACCTATGGGCATAACCTGCATCAGGACACTTACACTCACTACGCATGAACCTCCAAGTAGTCCTAAAACCTTCAACCCTCCAGACCCCAAAGCCCCGAACCCCTTGTCTGCGGATCGACAAGGGGCCGTTTAGCCCACCCTCAGACTGATGAGCGTCCAAGTTCTGCTGGCCGGCAGGGCTGCGACTCCCACGTGGATGGGCATCGATTCTGCAGTGTCCGTGGCCCAGCGTTGTCGGACCAGCAGGATTATTGTGTCATATAGGGGCCTTAATTAATGATTACAACAGGGTTTTGTGGCCCACTTTACTATACATTACTTGTGAATTTGATTTTCGATATTTCTAAATATGGGATTCTTGGGACTAGGGTTCGTTGGGGGCTATTCTAGTCTAGTTGATTGGGGGTTGTAAAGCGAGATTTAATTGTTTGGGATCCCACAAACGACACCACCGCGAAAGCCCTTGCTGGCTTGATCTTCATGGATCCTACTTGGAGGTTCATGGGTAGTTAGAAGTAGAGTTGTCTTCAAGGTCCCCTAGTGTACAGTATGCTGTAACCGTGCGTTGCCGCACCTACTTGCAAACCCACTTAGAACTAGCCTGAACCTCCAAGTTCACCCTAAACCCTAAACTCTTAAGCCAATGCGGATTCCTAATGCTGGTGACAGTAGACGGAAAAAGGTGCTCAAAAAAGACCCTTAAGCCCGCCTGTGGCACTAGCTGTCCTGGCGTTGGTTGCCTCTCGACACCCTCGGTACCCGCAGAAAAGGAAATCAACAAACAAAAAGCCTTAAGCCCTAAACCTCTAAGTCTTAAGTAAGGACCCCCCGCCCCCCCCCCCCCGCCCAAAGTTGTATGGGTAAAGAGGACAGGCCCCTACAATTGGGGATACAATTGGGGTTTAGGGGCTTCCTTTATGAGGGTCTTCTAAGCCCTGAACCTCTAAGTCTTAAGTAATGTAGGGGCCTCAATAATTACCTATATTATTTTGGGGGTTCCTTATTATAGATATACTACAAAGGACCCCCCCCCCAAAAAAAAAA